GATTAAAAAAATCATCGGCAAATCTATACAACAAACAACCTAATAGAAAACACATTGAATTTCAAAAACAGCTGATTAATAGGGTATATAAACACAAATACTCACGAAGTGTGCGTTGAACACTCATAGAAGTAGAAGTCGGTGTCTATGAACTGAACTGAAGTTTCAGATGACTCGACACCCAAATCTACGTGTACTGCATCAAATAAGAACAAGTCTCTGCATTTATTAGTTGAAACAGACAATTACAAAAACAAGCGTGCATTTTAAACCGATTTTGTGAGTACCAAAAGCAGACATCATTTTCATGCTAACAATAAGCACGTCAGTGTACCATATTGTACTGCCTATGAACACATTTCTCTGTTGATATCCTTATGATTGGTCCAATTATGCGATTGAATGAAAATGACACGCTGGTTCACAAGCATCATTTCATTCTAGAATGGACAAGAAGGAAACTACAATTCGACTTTTTGAAGGTTTGCTCTGTATATTTTTGCCATTAATCAATTCATATGGATGTCTCTTATTGCACTTGCCTCCTTGTGGAATGGTAGGTATCCCATCACTAGGAGGTGACGTACACTCCAGCACTTCATCATTCTTCGTAGCTGGAGATGCAAATGACCCGAAATGACATTCATAACTCTGGCCTGTCCCTAGATCGGGTAACTGCTGCACAGTCAGGATGATCTTAAAGTGAAAGTAAAACATATATATGTATATATTTCATTAATATTCAAGGAACTCCAAGAGTTAGCCTCAGTGTTTAAGGGATACTATAGACAGAGTTTAAATAACATTTGGTGAGCTCAAAATGACTGAGAATGAGCGACAGGTATAGTACATGAAGGACAACATTCTGTATCATTCTAACGCATGACAAAATATTTTCTTGAAGAGTCAGAAATTTCCAAACATAATAAAGATGGTGTGACATTGAATATACAGATCTCTGTACAAAACCAAAATTCGTTAAGAGTACAAAAAACAATTGCATACAATATTTACCCATAACAATTAAGAAGGCAAAGTGCATGAAACAATAATGTGTAATTATACACATATCAAAATCTATTTAAAGGCTGGAGATCCCGGGGAAGCAAAAATAAAATTGTTAGGCCCAATGTCGATTGAACTAAAGGCGTTGCATAGACGTATACATGTAATATTTTCACATCCCTAGGCATATCTGGAGTAGGGGGGGATGGGGGGGGGTACGAGACCAAACCCAATAATCTCGCCCCCCTCTCTCTCCCTTTGGCCACGCCCCCCAACCGCCCCCTCCCAATGATCTCTCCCTCCCAATATCTCAGTCTCAGCCCCAGCCAAAACCGGGGCTCAATATCTCTCGTCTTGAAGATCTCTCTCTAGCCGGTGAGTCTGATCGCTTATAAATCCAAAATAATGACCTCATCTACAAAAAAAAAATAATAAATAAAATATTATATTAATATATAATAAATGGTGACTACGATCAAGCCAATCGTTAAGGGATTTTCTAGATGGAATAAAGCGACGCTGCGCGATTACGTCCAGCGATATGATATACCGTACAATCAAAATGTTACTCTTACGCGTAAAGTCTACATCAACGGGATAAAAAACCACGAAGCTCGATTTAAAAACTTGAGGAAAAAGACGCTACATGAGCTCAAACAGATTGTAGACGATAACGATCTAGAATATAACCCGTCGGGTTATAAAGGTCGATTTTTGAAAAAAGATTTACTCTCGGCGATTCAAAACTCTAGGCAACCCGAGGATTTTCAAGAGGCTGAGTTTAGAGCGACGAGGAGATTTAGAAACAACTTTAGAAACTGGGAACTGATTCCTAGACTTTTTAACGACGATTTAGTCAGATTTTTTGATACGCACAAAGATCAAATTGTAAATAAAATCAAGTCAGAATTGAGAGAGCTAAGAGGTTTAAAAATGGAGCTCACAATCAAAATAAAATACGAAAAAACCAAACGGATGGTACGATCGAAACGATCGAAGCTACACATTATACCGATAAGAGAGTCGTTTTAAATCAAAGTCAAATAAAACAGGTTTTAAAAGAAGACATCGACCAGATATTTAGAAAGGATGAAAGGTATACGAATCAAGGATCGGGTTGGGTTTTAAAAAAGATAATGGCGTTGTATATCAACATCAACAGGTTTAACCCCGTGAGAGGTAGTTCTTACATTGACCTACCCCCGCATATTAAAAGAAAACAGGCGATGATAAACATCAAAAACAAAGACGACGAGTGTTTGAGATGGTGTTTGAGAGCTGCTCTTGGCTTGTATACGGATAAAGTAAAACATAACATAAAAAACGATCCCAAATATAGACCTCGCGAAGAGAGACCTAGTATTTACACCAAAGACGACGGACTCAAATTTAAAGGCGTAGACTTTCCGACACCGATCGACCAGATACCAAAGATAGAAAGACAAAATAATTTAACGATAAACGTATACGGTTATGAGGGAGAAATATATCCGTTATACGTGTCTAAAAACTATAAAGCAGAGTCACGACCTATCGATCTGTTTTTGTTTTCTGAGGGCGACAAGCATCACTACTGCTGGATAAATAATTTTTCGAGATTGATTTACAACGTAACAAAACATAAAAGTAAGAAATATTTTTGTCGAAGGTGCCTGTGTCATTATAGAACGCAATTAAAATTAGATAGACACATGACCGATTGTAACGGTATAGATACACATCCGTCAAAGATTGTATTTTCTACCGCTAAGCGAAAATATGTAAATAACGAGTGGATAGTCGACGAAAAAGATGTGCCAATATTAGAATTTAAAAACTACAGGTTTAAACAAAAAGCACCGTTTGTAGTTTACGCCGACTTTGAATCGATATTAGAAAAAAACTCGGACGCTAAAAAGAACAACACGCAAAAGACAAACATTCACAAAGCAAGCGGTTACTCGTTGGTAGTAGTTAGATGCGACGGCACCAATGCGTATCAAGAGACTTATAGAGGTAAAGATGCTGTATCAAAGTTTGTACATAAAATGTTAAAATATGAAAAAAAGTAAGACTGCTGCAAACTTACTACTGACTGGATGGACCTGAAATATATAAATCTTAAAATTAATGTGGCCTGACGTTGCGAACTTTAGCAAGTTCTTCTTCAGAGGCTAAAACAGAAATGACAGAGATACATACATTAACAAGGGGGTGCACACAAACATGCAGGGCTGAAAGAAGAAACACAAAAGGAGGATTAGGAGGGAAAGGTGTGGAAAGATGCAGGGGAGGGTGGATGAGAGAACAAGAAACAAAGGGAGATGGCAAACCACAGGGGGTCTGGTGTAAACAGGGGAGGGACCAGAAAGGGGAAGGATCAAAGGTCACAGGGAGTGGGAACGGACAAAAGAGTGTGAGAGTGAAGGGATGATGCGGGGGGGGGGCAGTATAGAGGTGGAAAGGGATGAAAGATGGCGGGAGATGTGTTAACACAAACAAGGAAGACCAGATGGATTATCTGTAACAGAGGACAATGGAGGAAGAAAAGGATTAATCATTTCAAGTTGGATGTTGAGACCATGTGGTTGAATAGTTCGAAGACGATTCACCCACACCTTCTCTCTCTGCTGAGGCGAACTGACTCTTTGCGATGGCCAAGAGATTCAATGCCCTGCAAAATCATATCAGAAATGGAGTGGTTAGGCAGGTTGAAGTGATGACAACAGGGGTGTCTAGTTTCTGGTGTTGACCGTTGACCGATGGGCATAGAAAACGCTTCTTGAGCGTATTCTTAGTCTCACCTACATACTGCACTCCACAGCCTGCAAGAAATGAGATATATGACATTAGAGGGTTACAAGTGATGTTACCAATGGTTCTGTGGGTAGTGACAGAAGAGTGGCCAGAAAAGGAGTCAGACTCCTGAATATGAATCTGCAGACAACACATCTGGAACTGCATTGAAAGTACCATGCTGGTGGGGAGGGATGCATCTAAGGATGGGACTTCAGCTCGAACAATCAAGTCCCGTAGATATCGAGGACGCCTGTA